AATAAATAAAAGAGGAAAAAGAAAAAAACCTGAGCAGGTAAATTATGCAAATGTGGATACCGGGCATTTCGAATGACCAGGGCAGTATTATTATTTGCAATAAATTGATTACTTGATATAATCATTATAGTATTTACGGCTGGTTCCATCCGGAAACCTATTCCTAAACCTCCTTCGATTCGATTCCCGGTAAAATCAATTATGGTATTAGCCATTCCAGTTTTCTGGCATGCAAATATCTCCACAGATGGATGATAACGATTTCCAATTAATTCAGTCCAACTTATTAGCACCTGCAAATTACCTAACAAATTAATTCACAATTTAATCAAATTAGCAATAATATTAATACGCTAAATTAAACAGATTTTGCAAAATAATTTTATAAAATTTTTAGTTTTTCAAAATTTTTACAGTATTTTTAAAATTTTTAGAATATTTTTCTGTGCAAATGTTAAATTTGTAATAATTAATTTTAGAGAAAAACAAATAAATTGGAGTAATAATTATTGGGAACAAAGGATTGGAAATGAAAAAAAAATTGAAAACTAAAATTGAAGTGTCCATTTAATCTTTTGATATATTTTAATTGTAAAAAAAAATGCACTTATCAGAAAATTTTGATACTTCAAATTTAGGAAGTTAAAGAAATACACAGAAAAAAAAATAGTTGCCTATTCCAGAGTATACATACGAAGTAATTAATTAAGTAACCAATTTGCATAAATTGATTACAGCTGCGTGAAATATTTGCTTATTCCTTATAAAAAAAAAAAGAAAATTGAGATAAAGAATTGCATAATTTGAAAAATAAAGTGGCAAAATTAGAAATAAAAAGAATATATTATTTAGGAATGGAATAATAATATGAATTATTATAACAATGCATAAAAAATGTTTACAATTTTATAAAAAAAAAAAAAAAATTAGGAATATACAAAAATTTGAATTAATTCACCTTTGGTTGAATATTTTTCCATAATGGTATGCAAAAATTTCCAATTAAAATACCTCCCCATTCATTATCAACAATTTGTGTACGTAAATAAAAGATATTATTCGATGGACGACCTTTAATAATAATCTCCTGATGATGGGATAAATATGGTGATGAAGTATTTTGATGAAATGCACAACCTAAAATTATTTCTAGTTAAATTATAGGTTGAAATATATTTCCAGTCATTTTAATTACTGCAATTACAGAAGCATATAAATTATCCATTATTTTAAACTAAATTTATGTTTATTTCAGCTCAATTTATTTTTTATATTAATTCAATTCAATCCAGTTTAGGTATAACGCTAATACCGTTTTAATTTGATCCTTCATAATTTTAATATTATCTTTTGAAAAAAAAGAAAATTTTTCAGTACTTACTCATTAATATTACTATTAACTAAAATTTAAAATATAAAATAAGTATTACTAGCATTTAGATTTAAAATACAAAATAAAATTATAGTCTATTTTTTTCTTGGTACATTATTTGATTGCCATTATTAACCTATCTATTTGTTTATAGCTTTAATATATGAGTTAGATATAATAACTTTAAGATGATTTGATTTCAAATTTAATTTCCATTTCAAAATTAGCAAAAAAATCAATGACACACAAACCTCGCAATTTATTACGACTAATTATGGTACCATTAATTGTAATCGAACCACCAGCATATGTAATATTAATTCCATCACCCCAATTATCATTAATTCGGGAAGCATTAATCCATATATCCGCCGCACCATCACGTACCAGAAATCCCGCTTGTCCTTGATTTTCCAATATTGTAACATTTGTTAAAACTGTTCGTTCACGTATATCTTGCGCCAAAATACCATTTCCCGTATTATTTGCTATTAGTGTATGTGTTATATTCAAACCATAAAATGCTTTATCTGTAATTGGAAATTAAATTTTCAAATCAATTATCGAAAAAAAGAAAGAAGGAAAGCACAAGCAAATATCAGTTATAAATTGAATAAAATTTAGAATTTAATTCCCAATTTTTAAATGTAATCATTTATTATAAATGATATGTGAAATGAAATTCATTTAAATGCTTATGATATTGCAAGAATTTAAATTATAATGCAAATCAAAATTTCATTTTACTTTCAGATTTTACAGTAATCTCCAATAGAATTCAAACTCTAACTGGTTCGAATTTGATTAAAGTATTAATTTGCAACCTCATTTTTTCCTACTTTACCACCAACAAGAATCACGATAAATCGTTAAACATACCAGTGACAGAAGCGTGAATTCGAAAAATTAAATTAATATCCCCAGCAACTCGATCACTCAGTCCATTTGGTGTATGCTCTAACGAAACATATATTGGTTGACCAGTACTCCTACAAAAATCTCCGCTTTTTTATTCCGGAAAGTCATTCTGAATTTGACAAATATCTGAAGCAAAAGTAACATCGATTCAAACGGATGAATGATCCGGTAAGTTGGAACAATCGAAGATTTTGAAATTTGACGACCAGAAATTTGAATCACAGAATTATCAAATACTTTATACTGATTCAACTAATTATGGTAAGTTATCGAATCGAAAGCTAATTAATTGACCAGCAGACCGAATTTTCAAATTTTCGGCAACAACTTTCCCTAATATAACTAAACGTAACAATGCAAAATATTTTGACGTTAGATGTAAAATGGACTTGAGATCGAAAAAAAGAAAGCAGGAATTAAATGCAGGAGTCAAATAATCGATGATAATTAATTAACCGGAATGAAATTGTTTGCGGAAGAATATGATCCAAAATTGGAATACGATATCGTTCACTATCACATCCATTGATGTTCATATTTGCATCACAAATGATTAATCGAGTTTTTGAATCCAAATTTTCATCATTTTCATTTCTTACTACCATGAATTGTATACTGTACGTATATGGTAACTGAACTGGCAATGATACTGTCTAAATATTTATAACAGATCAAGTTATGACATACTGTAGGAATGGAATGGATGAAATTTTAAATGTGCAAACTTCTTTTTTTTTGAAATCAAACTTCTCTTTTTTTTTGAAATCCTTGAATTACTGACAGAATTAATCTTAAATTTTACTTTATTTTTATGGGATTTGATATGATTAAAATAGCCAAACAAGTCAATGAATTACAATTGGGAAGTAATGAAATTGAAAACAAAAGAGATAATTAGTAGAAGAAGTTTCTCCAATCAAAATTACTAAAATACGGTATTTGCCAACTTTCAAATCATGGGAAAAAAATCATTACAAATGAAAAAATGTTTACCATCCAGCAAGGTGATGCACTGTTATTGTCAATTACCGTATCATTGGTAAGCTTTGCTTGGATTAAATGTGGAAAAAAGAAATTATTTGGTATTTTATGCTTCATACACATATCCAATCTTGGCCTTTTATTATCTTAAAATAGTAATGAGTCTTTTTCTGGTCCATTGTCTGAATTACAATAATGTATTTAATTAATTAATTAGTTACAGAACGAAATTCAATGATGAATTTTTAGTTTTGAATATTTGGATTCCTTGTAAATTTTTGATATTAATCTATACAAGAAACATTCACTCTTTTGTTATTTCAATCAAAAATTAACTCAAATGTACGCTAACTGCAATACGTTCCATCTAAAAAACGAAAAGTCTACAGTATTACTTAGTGATTACCGGATATGGTAGAATACCAGGATTCATCATATCCTTCATGATAATGTATGCCATCACCATAATTTCCAGAAATAGTTGTCATATTAATAAATACTCGGCCATCACTAGTATTCATTACCGTTATACCATGACCCCTAAAATTATTTAATTAAGCTAAAATCGATTATCATCTAATTAGCTGGAAATTCAATTTTACAAAAATGATAAAATATCAAAACTTTTTACAACGAGTTTTAAGACAATTATTTGTGAAAATAAATTTTCGATAAACTATAAAATTAATAAATTAAATCTTCCGCTCTTTTTTATTCTCTTTTTTTTTTTGTTGAATTCTCTTTTCAGTCACTGGAGTGGTATTATTTTAAAAATTTCAACAAATACCTGTACTTCGTCACTTTTTTTCCTTTAAATTAACATTAATATGATGGTGGGAAAAGGTTGCAGACAAAATAATTAGGCTAAATATCACTAATTAGCTTTCAATAAAATTCGGAAGTTACAATAATGCCGAATATTTTATGATTATTTTAGCAAAAACCATTATTTATTAAAAAAATAAAGCAGAAAAAACTAAACAAAATAAAGAAGTTAGTCAGATTGTTAAAATTACAAAAGTATTAACTCAAAAAAAAGCGAAAATAAAAATGAAAATAAAAATAAAAATTAATAATAAAAATCAACCAAATGGCTAATATTACAAAACGATATTTAAAAAAAAAAACAGCTAAATCATCGAAATTACAAAAATATCGCCAAAAAAAATCAGTCAAGTAATCGAAATTATAAAAAAAAATCACTTCATAGAAAAATTAGTCAAATGATTGAAATCATAGAAATCTCGCTCTCAACAGAAAAAAAATCAGCCGAGTGATTGAAATTATAGAAATCTGGGCCCTAGCAAAAAAAAATCAGCCAAGTAATTGAAATCTCCTGAAATAAACTTTGTCTCTTTTCCTAATCTTTTCTTAAAAATATTTTTCCTTTTATAATATAAGTAAACCCATTGTTATTGTCAAAGAAAACGCAGAAAATTTCCCATAATTAATTTTCTTTGTCTTTCGCTTTTTTCCCTTTAATTCCAATAAATAATACCTATTATTACGGATGGTTGAATTAGCAATGATAATAGGCCCAGTGGACCTTGAAAGATGAATAGCATCACCAGCACTTCGCTCAATCCAAAGGCCATTCATGATCGGTGGAATACCGTCAATCCAAATTGCTGCTGTTGTATTTTTGGTTGACCTTCAATAATTACACATAATATGCTAATTAACCTACTGATCCTTTTTTTTTGCTATGAATAAAAGGTCAATTGTGAAGCAAAATTATATTATATAATGTCACATAAACGTTTATTTCCCAAATTTTCTACAAATTACTTTCATAAAATGACTTTTTAGTGGAAACTTCAATAACATAATTTAATATTTTTGTTTAATTTTAATTAAAACAAGAAAAAACAAAACAATGGAGTGTAACTAACCCATCATATCCGGCATATAATATATCAACAAATTCAAGTTTACTAATAGATTCTTGATGTAAGGCAACCATATCAGGATCCGAATTCACATACTGTAATGATGATGACATGATTTGCAAGCCTATAATTAATTGCCATTTAAAATGTTCATATTCGCATGAAATTGTTAAAGAAATCAGTTAAATAATAGTGATAATAATAATAATAATAATAATAATAATAATAATAATAATAATAATAATAGTAATAATAATAATAATAATAATAATAATAATAATAATAATAATAATAATAATAATAATAATAATAATAATAATAATAATAATAATAATAATAATAATAATAATAATAATAATAATAATAATAATAATAATAATAAT